CAGGAATGGGTACTAGGAGGACATGAACACAATTATGTTAATTATTAGCAAAGGCTTGTTAGCTAACACTGATGGGAGGACTTTATGTCTCTCAGTCATTCAGCTGTGAAGATAATTTCATGGAATCACTCAAAAAAAAAAAAAAAAAAAAAAAAGACTTTAAAGAGAACATCTAATCAATGTATCTATCTGCTGTGAACAGCTTAATAATTCTTCCCTCCTGTCCACATGCTTTCATTTTTCCCTGGTAAACTTTCATCCATTTCAAAGGTTAAAAAACCTAGAAGGACTATGATTTTTTGTATCATGCAGACAGGAGCTTGCAGAGACTTCCTATTACCCATTAATACTAATACCAAAGTCAAATAGTATTATCACTACTAAGGTAGGTTCTGCTTTTAACAACAGCTCATGTGGAGCAGCAGTTGGGTTGTATAAGGTTTGAAGTTGGCATCTAATAGGGTTTGTTTACCAAGCACGGTGAGACCATGGGTCTTTTGGTCCAAACTTCAAGTGGTAACAGAAAGAGAGAACAGAGAAAAAGGCACCAGCCTAGCTGGCCAACTGCAATATTTTTTTGCAAGACAAGGGCCACCACCTATGTCATCCCTTTCCCTGGAAGTGTCCAAGGCCAGGTTGAATGGGGCTCTGAGCAACCAGGCCCAGTGGGAGGTGTTCCTGCTCATGCAGGGAGGTTGGTGCTAGTTGATCTTCAAGGTCCCTTCTAACCCAAACCATTCCATGATGATTCTGTGAACTCTGTGAGGTAGCAATATATGCTGGAAGCAAATCTTTCATTTGCTTGCTTGGTTGCTGGTCCCAGCTGCAAGAGACAGAAGGATCACGTGTCTCATTTCTACAGACCACAAAAAAAGCATTAAGGAGATTCCTCATCTCTCCAAGCATCTTAATTCTCACTGATTCTTCTCTGGACTCCCAAATCCTTCTTCTCAGAACTGCTTTCCAGCAGGTCCACCTCTAACCTGTATTTTCTGTTATATCCTACTGTTTCCTACAGTATTTTTTTAAAAACCTCTGAAGAGTTTTGGATTTCCCTTTCCATTAAGTACCTAAGTGAGGTGGGTTGTATAAGGTTTGAAGTTGGCATCTAATAGGGTTTGTTTACCAAGCACGGTGAGACCATGGGTCTTTTGGTCCAAACTTCAAGTGGTAACAGAAAGAGAGAACAGAGAAAAAGGCACCAGCCTAGCTGGCCATCTGCAATATTTTTTTGCAAGACAAGGGCCACCACCTATGTCAACCCTTTCCCTGGAAGTGTTCAAGGCCAGGTTGAATGGGGCTCTGAGCAACCAGGCCCAGTGGGAGGTGTTCCTGCTCATGCAGGGAGGTTGGTGCTAGTTGATCTTCAAGGTCCCTTCTAACCCAAACCATTCCATGATGATTCTGTGAACTCTGTGAGGTAGCAATATATGCTGGAAGCAAATCTTTCATTTGCTTGCTTGGTTGCTGGTCCCAGCTGCAAGGGACAGAAGGATCACGTGTCTCATTTCTACAGACCACAAAAAAAAGCATTAAGGAGATTCCTCATCTCTCCAAGCATCTTAATTCTCACTGATTCCTCTCTGGACTCCCAAATCCTTCTCCTCAGAACTGCTTTCCAGCAGGTCCACCTCTAACCTGTATTTTCTGTTATATCCTACTGTTTCCTACAGTATTTTTTTAAAAACCTCTGAAGAGTTTTGGATTTCCCTTTCCATTAAGTACCTAAGTGAGGTTTTAAGCTCATGCTGGCCATGCAGCTTTACCAGACAGAGGCAAAGAAGGAAGAGAAAAGACTTTACCATCTTCAGAGATGATAAATCTGAACAGTGCAGGACACTTGACAAAGACGATTTCACCCACACTTGCAGGTTTCCAGCACGTAATATTGTCCCACATTCCTGGGCAACCTATAGAAGAGAAGGAGAGAGAAAATAAATCAGTGGTGGAAATCCATTCCATTTGTCACACTGTCATGGTGTGTTTTAGTTGGTTCTTTCTTCTAACCATAAAACTGCACCTATTTAGAATAATCAACACTCATTTTGTAATAGGCTTTCCTGGAATAACATACATTTCACTCATAACAACAGCATGAAACATGTGGCTTCATAGCACAATGACCAGACAGTCCCAGAAGATCATATTTCTTAGTTCCAGTTAAATCACTTCAACAGACATTAGAAACAATTTTTCTCTTGAGCATATCACTGTCTTTTAGTATCATTTAATTCTCTTCCATTATTGCTGAGTCAAATCTTTAGGTATCTTTGACTTAAATTCTATAAATTCTTGTTGTCTCTAATCTTTGCCACAGGTTGAGTGATGGAATAATTTTGAATTTCACCCAGGAAGACAACTGGAAACTGAAAACCAGATTCTACTTCATCTTACAGCCAGTTTTGTGGTCATGTGAGAGAAGTTCACTTCTTTGATGTTGTTAATTTTATTGAAAAATATTGGAAGTAGAAATGTCCTCCACTACTAAAGAACAGCCATAACATAATTCACTACCTCTATTGCAGTTTTTCCTCTGAAGAATATAAACTCACAGTATTAAAAGGATGATTTTGACCTGTAATTATTTCTTGTATAAGTTAAAGATAGAATCAGTCCTTTAACAACTCTTCAGAGATTCAGCTTCAGGTAACAAGCTTTGAACTAAAGATCTGAGTGGTGAAGGACCAACCTCGTGTTACATGCACACAGAGAGAGAAGATGATGGGATTGTGGATGGGAGTTGTCTTCTCTTAGACTATGGGAACAATTCAGGTCCATTTGCTACAGTTAATATAATAAAGGGGTTTAGCTCCTGCTTCTTTGTGATCACTGTGCCAGACACATGACAAACTATGACTGATTTTCAAGAAGCATAAGCCTTCTGTAATTTTGTAAACCACCTTTTCATTAGCTCATAAACCTAGAAGACTTAACAGAAGAACTCAGAGCAACCTTTCAAATTTCCTACTAATGCCTAAAAAAAAATAATGACTTAGTGAAGGAATCTCAAACGAAAATCATCCTCTACCTCAGCAGGAAAAGAAAGAATAACTAAATCTAAATATCTACACTACTTATTTGTGTTTGATGCTGAGATCAAGCACATAATCTTATCAACAGTTAAAAGCCACAAGCTCCATTCAAGTGGTGTTATGTCATGATGTGCCAGGAAAAATAAGATCTTCATAAAAGCAGATAACACTTCCACCCTGCCACAAGTACAATATAATGAGGTTTGGGTGATCAGCTTGTAAAACCAGTGTGGGCTTTATCAGGTAATAGCAGTTTCCCGTCAGAGGAGAATGTTTGCACACAAGGCTGGACTTGGTGTGTTTTTTCCATCATCTTCAGTGGTAGTGAACCAAGCCCTATGTTTTCTCCCCAGATAGAAGCCAGATACTGCCATGTGTGGTGAATAGGGCAGTTCTGAGTGACACAGTGTTTGAAGAATTAGGTCAGCATCAAAGAACACTTATAATGATGGCACATGATCAACAGCAGATAATAACTCATTTGAATTAAAGGATGCAGCATCAGATCACATAATATAAATTAATAACCCTATAAAATCCTGACCTTATTAGCTAAAAATCTATCAAGATTTGCCAGATGCACCAGCATACAGTATTACTGCAAAAATGCTCATTAAATCACTGCATGAGCTGGAAAAAAAAGGAACCCTTTACATTTCTCTCCCCTCTTCTCTTTCTTCCACTCCTACCCCAGGTTGTTTTCTTTTCCAGATGAGGATCTCATTATACCAGTATTGGCATCCACTAGAACATCTCCAAAAGTCTCAAAAACTGAGGTTTTGAAAAGCTTTGTGATACAACCCGCTTAGTAAAGATGAAAATCAAGGTCACATTGAGCACTATTAGATTTTACTCTCTTTGATACCTAGTGTCTGTCCACGCAGCAGGAACTGTATTTACCATGTAAATCTGAAAGGAGATAGTAATAGGTTTATAGTTCCCTGATATATGGGACTTTATATAAAAGCAAGGAATGTGTAAATCTTCATGGTAATGAGACATCTGCTTGCAGAAAGTGTTACAAACAATAGAAGTGGCAAATGAGATCTTCTAAAAACCACATAATCCTAGAATGGAAGGGACCTGAAAGATCATCAGGTTCCAACCTCCCACCAGACCAGGCTGCACAAGCCTCATCCAACCTGACCTTGAACATCTCCAGGGAAGGGGTTTCCACAACCTCTCTGGGCAACCTGTTCCAGCACCTTCCTACCCTCATGGTGAAGAATTTCTTCCTGATGTCTAACCTAAATCTCCCCTCTTCCACTTTAAAACACTTCCTAGCCTTGATCACATAAACTGATGGGTTTGATAGGAATAGGGAAAGCTTTCTTGATTCTTACCATCACTTCAACAACAACTGTTTTCCAAACACTGGGATAGCAATACATACTGCAAACCAATGTACAGAAATGGAAGGTAACCCTTATACTGCAGAAAAGGAAGTGTAGATATGGAATAAATAACTCATAGTGCTGTGTATCAAATTCAGTCACAGCAGGTGGCTGGTTTTTGTAGTAATACTGTGCAGAGCTAAACAATAGAATCATTTTAAAAGAAATTGTAAGTACACCATGCTAGAAAGCACTGATGTGCAGATATTGGAAGTGAGGGATAGAGAAGCTGACAATCCAGTAATATGTTACTAAAAGAGATGGGTGATGGAGAACAGAAAGAATTCCTCATCAATTAAAATATTGCCTGATCCTGCCTGGAAAAGCATACTTAAAACAAGCTATATAGAAGAGCAGAGAAAAAGATGACAAGAAATTAAATGGAGTAAAGGCTGGTGTGCACAGTCTCCTCACATTTGTAAACCCTGATGGAGCCAGCAGCTCCTGCTGGGGGAAATCTGCCCACGGAAATCAATGTGACTTGAGTGTGAAACTGCACAGCAGGGTTCTCCTCTGGCTCTGATGGCATGTCTCCATCACCATGGGATGGAGGGGCAGCCAGGCTAGCTTTGAGAGACATTACTCAGACACTGCAAGCAGTAAGGTGCAGCTTCACGTGGGCAATTTTTCACGGTTCTTAGAATGCTAGAAATCAGTAGTAACAACAGATTGTATAAAAGAATAAAATTTTATGTGGGACAGGATGAAAAGTGATGGTATTATTAAGGGATGGTCTTGAGAAGGCACCTGGTAGAAAGCACAAACTCTTCCTTCCCTCCCCATGTCTGCCCTGCAGCCTGAAACCTATTTTGGTAAACTTGTGGGCTTCATCTCAGTTAACATAAGGGGTGTAAAGCTTGACATCTGATCTCGGATAAGTACTTATGCCTTCTTTGTAGCATGGGCAGAAGAGTGCTTCATCTTATTCAGCTAGTCATCTCCTCTCTGATGGAGTGGAGGATCCTTTGGGAGCCCCCATCCCTTGTCATTTACTTTCGAGGAAAAAAACCCAGTCATTTTTAACTTGAGATGGCTAAGATTACCCTTTTACCCTCATTCATCTAAGCAAAGTTTCCTCTCTAGAGAGACTTTCCAGATAGGGATAATCCCATTTCAAGGTGGTGGAGGTGAATCAGGCTGTAGGTGTATTTCTATCTCTCCACTGACTACACTAAGTAGAACAAGGCTAAGAACCACCTTAGCTTAGACAGCTGCCTTTTCAGTGGCTGAATCTTGTGTTCCCCAGAGGGTCTATGTGGTCTTTTGGAGAAGATATGAGCCAACCTGGGCAGAGGGCTGAGCAGTTGCTATGCAGCCTCCCTTTCTGATCCTGAGAACAGGAGACCAGCTGAGAGCTGGGACATGCAACTGCAGGCTGTGAATGGTGTCAGAGCAGCTGTGCAGCTCCTGGGCAATTCAAATCAAAAGGCAAATCACACTGGCTGCTCATGAAAAGCCACAAGGTCCATCCCTACATCTCTATCAAGCTTCTCCTTGCAAGAATGAGATAAAACTCATGCTTAGACTGCAAGATCCCTGAGGCAGGATCCACCTTGCAATGTTCTTGTGAAATGTTATTTCAAAACACAGCCCTGATTTCAGTTGAAGCCCAATATGGATTTTATATTAATTTCATATGAAGCCCCTGACACTTGAGTTTCAATTCAATGTTGTTGAAGCTGAGGGTGGATCTGACCTGGGGGTCACTGAAGAAGGACTGCACTTTCAGAGAAAGCCCAAAGGAGGAAAGTGTGGATATTGCAGAACTTCTGATGTAATTTAAAATTATACATAGTGCTAAAACCATTCAGTTTATCCTCCTTCCTTGAAGGTTCATCCAAGCCTTGTTCCTGACCTTTGCTTCAAATTAAGCCTCTTGAAGCAAAATGTTTTCTCTTTACCTGCTACTCCTGGCAGCTGAGAGGCTGCTGCCTTCTCACCTGAGGTGTCTGGACAAGCACCAGGAGGAAACGAAAAAAAAAGGAAACCCAACAAAGCACACTATGCTGCTAGAATAGCAGTAGTAAACAGCTCTTCTGAAATTGTGTCCCTTCATATTCTTTTTCTCCTCTGTCTAAGGGTGCCTTGAGAGTCACAGTTTTTATAGTGTCTAGATATAAAACCAGATTTTGGGCAGCCCCAAAGCTGAAGTTCACTGAGTTCAAGGAAATTATTTCACTTTAAATCCACTAAGGATAGAGGCTGTTATCTGCTACTACCACAGAGTCACTGTGTCACCAGGACTATGTACAAACTGTTCTTTTTCTACAGATTTGTGACCTGGTTTCTCATGGTGTCTCTGCTGCAATTCCTTCATTTAAACTCTCTGGAACAGTATCCACAACATCTTCCCTTGTCCTTACCTTGTCCCTCATGCATCGTATCTTATTCTCATCTCTGCCAGTGATTGGCAAGAGAAGGTGCAAAAGCAGAGATAGGCTTTTTGGATGGTGAAACCCTGTGTACTAATTCATTGCTCACTCA